GTAGTCGTTTAAAAGATATACTAATAAACTGTATTTTAGATGACGAGCACATATTTGAGCGACATTGTTTGACATATTTACGTCATTTTTACGAAATAGAAACTATCAATATAGAACATGCGATCTGTATAAAAGCGTTACGAGTGTGTCCAAGCCTGATTGAAATTAAAACATAAGCATTGAAAAACATGTTACACAAGGACAGTTTGCGTATATTTTGTCTCAGACATGCGTTTCCTGTTTTCTGGGGTACATCATTAAATTTTCCTCTTTTAAAAAAAATGAATAATTTGTGATCATCTCATAGTTTCTATTAGAATGCTCATTTGGCTTTTCTGGCACTTTCTCTGGCTCTGTCATCATATGTCCACCTGAAATGGTGGTAATTATTAAGTATTTCGTGGTCGAATGCATTATCTTCTTCCGGTTTGATGAGTATTGAAAATAAAGCATTGGGCACCTGTTCCATGTTTCCACTGGCAACCCATGTGTCATTATTCAACAATCCGAGACAGACCTGCCCTCCATTCTGACTCACGTTCAGGTGGTAGATCGGGGTCAGAAAGTGGACCTATAAACACAATCAATACCATTGTTATTAAGTAATATTACATATTCTCATGTTTTCATGAACCACGCACGGTGAACGTTGAATTCTGAAAGAATTATACATACATGAAAATGTCCTGCTTATCAAAACAAAAGTTTCATATTTTTCATCACTGCACTGTAGAGACGGGCATTAATTATTCAACGGGTTTTACATTTACTAGATTCACCGATAGTCAAATAAAAAATCAAAATTCTCGTGAATAGGTTAAATGCTCAAATATCAAATATTAAAAATTAATGCTTTTTTACAGTATATGGTATACATGTAACACGGGTAACACATGATTGGATGTTTGTTGTAGGAAAAAATGTGCAAGACTCACCAGTGGTGGCGCCATCGGGTAGTTATCTCTATAAATAAGGTTAAAGAAACAATAATTCGTATAATTTGTATATTGAATGTCTGTGTAAATTTATTTGTAATCTTGGAGTGGTAACAGAACATGTGTCACATGACAAACAAAATGTGTAATTAAAGGATACGGAAATGATATCTGTACTTTGAATTTTCCTCCTGAAAGAAATCAAATTGGACATTACTCTTTGCATAATTAGCATTGTAATCATCAAAAACGCGACGTTTCCCAGGCTTGGGATTCTTAGAATGTTCAGATTGTGTATGCAAACAATATTTTTTTTCTTTTGCCTATTTATTAAAAATCGATATTTCACACAATTTGAGTACCTAAATGTAATATCATCGATTTCAAAACACGAAATAAGTTTTCCAATTATTAAAGATTAGTTTTTAAACTTTGTGGCAACTTTAAAAATTAGTGGTCAGATGATGAGTGTGCCAAATTACCTTTATACAGTGATTGCTTAGGACCAGGTATTTCTGCGTTCCATAAATAAAGATTATCTGATAGTAGCTGGACTTTGATACCGCACGGTGGGCTTTTCTGCACTAAGGTCAGCTCCTTTTGTAATCTGCGTGATAAAACATCTTCTGGGTCAGGTTATGTTATTTATTATGTTAACACGGACTGGGCGTGAAAGATATACATATAGTACATTTCTCACTGTGCATTCATATATGCTTGACATACTTCATTGCTTTGCCAATAAACTTGTAGTCAAAGACAATTATTAAGCAATAACATACCGCTTTTACGAATCATCATTTCGAAGGCATGCTACGTACTATAATTTGCTTTATAGTTACCCGTAATGACGACAATTGCAATGGTCAGTATGCCGAGAGAATATAATAGTTACCTGCCAGTTAACTGCTTACTCAAGCTCATTCTGACGTCTCAATACTCTTACTAGTATGTATATATCGTAGTACATATAAGGACATATAAAACGCGACTAAATTGTTATATGAACGCGTCAAATGTAGTTTATAACTATGTATATTGTTCCGCATATGGCAGGCAGTTGTGTTTTCCCCGTACGTCTAAATATGGAATATACGTAATGTGTTTTTAATTTAATGGCGTAATCACCTGTAGGACTCGTATATCAATACGCCTTATTGCGTGATATTCGATAATGACTCTTCTGTAACAGTGTGCACCTAAAACGGTTTTTGAATCGTATTATAACTATATTAAGAATCTAAACTTACAGTAATTATTAGTTTTAAACTACCATGTCGAAATTCTCTAACTATTTTAAAAGGCGGAAGAAGCACCTGTTGTTTGCACAAGTAGGTACCCGAACACTCTAGACTCCTATATAAGGACAAGAGTTTTAACATGTGCGTCACTGATCTGGACGCAGTCGACGCTATATACCTTTATTGTTGATTTCACCGTTCTCATCACATCAACATGTCTGAACCCCGTGATCCAAATCTCTGGCAGTTGTTTATAAATGGGGTTGAAGGGAAGACGGTAACTGTGGATATCCATAAGGTAATCATGTGTATATATTGGGGCGGAAAACCCGGAACCAGGTGTCTCTAAATTCTGCCCGTACTCGATTTCAGTGTCCACGGTAAATTGAATTATTCTGGGTTCGCATGAGTTTTGATTCTCTGCTCACCTGGTTCCCTAGTCTATAGAATTCTTCTAACCCTTAGTATGGTAGGCAATCCAATCCTGGGTAACATTCAATGATTTGTATCTATATATACATGTTTTATGTGACAATTTGAATACGCCCCTTCTAATTCAGATTTATGATATGAGCACCCCACCCGAACACCCCCATAGTCCTCTCTCCGAACTCTAATACTAAATAAACAGTGTGTACTGACATAGAACACGGGCTCTTTTCAGGATGCAACTGTGGATGACCTTCTTAGGAAAATCAAGGACAAGAACAGACTACCTGTTGAAGAACAACGAGTGGTGTATGGGTCAAAACAACTACAAGCAGGCCAAGGCAAGCACCTGTACGATTATTATATAGAAAACAACTCAACGCTGTTTGTTGTTCAACGTCTACGGGGTGGGTCGACCGAAGAGCATGCCAAGCAGTTGGACGAAGACGTAGAGCTTACAGATGCGCCGGACATGATTACTTGGGATGATGATCCAGAAAACAAGCGAGCCAAGATGCCATGCGGCCATGCAATCGGGCCAGAATCTCTTACTGCATTTTGTAGAAGCCTGTTGACTAGTGGGAAATTCCGTTTTCTGTGCCCCTACGTTAGCAACGATTACACGTCGTACTGTAATGAGGAGTGGGCGTACGTGGACGTCAGGCGATTGGCGGTCCTCACCCCCGCAGAGAAAAAGGAATTTGAAACTAAGATAGCTACAAACTTCCTTCGCAAAGCTCAGGGAATCCAAGAATGTCCACAATGCAAGACGCTTTGTGAGCGCATTGACAAAAAGAATTTACGCTGTATATGCGCCATATGCACTCATAAACGCAGCAAAACGTTCGAATTCTGCTGGTTTTGTTTGCATGAATGGAAGACTAAAGGCAGCATTTCCAACTGCGGCAATAGCAGCTGCAGTGGTGAAGACCCGCGTCTGAAGATTCTCCGTACATGCCCCAAGAAGACCATCGTGGGCGTCCCCAATTGTCCTTCTCGTCGTGCTTGTCCTTCATGTGGCATGCTGATTGAACACGACAAAGCCTGTAAGCATATGGTATGCTTCTGTGGGAAGAAATTCTGCTTCATCTGTCTGACAAAACCTGATGCTAAAGGTAGTTACCAGTGTGGATCGTACAACACTAAGTGTACTATTGCTGCCATCCAGACAAAGATACCTGGCTCAGATTAGAGTGACACTCACCAGCGAGCAGTACATTACTCGGACTTCACAGTCATCTGGGGTGACCCACACTCTTCACATCTATTGTATTCAGGACAACGCATTAGACTACCTAGGATTCGAATCAGCTATCGGATTTTTTTGGGGGTGTTGAAATTGATAAGCAAAAGATAATAGGAAATATTGGGGGATACGAATTCAAAAATGTCGTCATGCTGATGTACCGGACTTTACATCTCCCAGATAACAAATGGACAACCACCGACAGTCACGTAATCCTGATTACATATCACCTGACAGCGGTAATAATGCATTGATTAGTTCTATCCCCTGTGGGTGGATCGAACATATTATGATCCTTTTTAATACTTTTTAAAAGGTACTTACCATTAGCCGGGTTCTTTTATATCATGGGAAATTGTAAGTTTACGAAAACTGTTTTAAAGGTACTTACCATTAGCCGAGTTCTTTTTTTATCATAGGAAATTGCAAGTTTTTGCAAATTCACAATTTGTTAACAAGCAATTTTGCAAGAACATACATATGTGATCTCGTATAGTAAGGATAACTATGGTTTTGTATAAATGTATTGTGGTCGGCGAGACTCGTTTTCTTGATAAAGCCGTCTCCCAATCAATTGTATGTTTTTGGAAGCCCCGATGAATTGATTGTTTGAATTACTTCGTAAACTCAAATATGTGGGTGTCTACTTTGAGTTATGCATTTACACGAAAACCTGTACTTACATTATCAATGAAATACATGTATATTAGAACAACAACACGTTTTTTTGTATTTTGTGACGCCATTGTTAAGCAGGCATAACGCATGCGTACATAGATCAATGTTGATCGTTAGTCTACAAATACGCACGTTCTACCCTCTTACATGAACTAGAGATTTTCCAAATCCAACGTATTCCATAACTGTGCGATTCATTGCGTAATCATAGTTTCGTTTGCAATCAGTTGTTGAAATTCACAAAATTGACGAAAACATAAATGAATGGTCGTAATTTGGCAAGAGCACCTCCGACTTGAATTTATGTGCAAATAAAGTTTTGGACCTGACACGCCCATGTCACGTTCCCTTTTCCATAACATTTGTTAAATATCATATGACATGATAAATATTTGATGTCGGTTTCGTTTGAGCATGATTTAAAAAACAAACAAATTCCGGGAGTGACGATATTTATCTTCTAGTTTTACTACTAGTTAACAAATGCTTCTTTTTTTCGAGTATGTGTGTCAAACACTAGCACCATAAAACGTGCGTGGGTAAACGAAAGCTCAGGCCGCTGAAGAATTTTCACGGTGTTCTGAGACGACCGCAAATTGCAGGCATTCTACATTTCTTTTGCATACGCCCTCTATCGAGAGTAACAGCGCCTCATCGTGCGAGGGCGCACATCATCTTAAAATATGTATGGGAAATAGAAGAGTGCATGAAAAAAAATAAATCAATAGACAAACAATCACATGTACGGTTTTATTAGTCTGAAATAATAAAAATTACATATTTTATTTTCCCACAAAAATATGACGCTACACCTATACACCATAAACCTTAGAAAGAAATGTTTCAATGTTTCTAGATGCCAAATTCATCAGTTATATGCATTAATAGGAGAAAACGTTGCAGTGGGAGTTGACAGTCCCTGATTACTATAAGTCTGAGGTTTACATCGAGTGCGATTTTGGACGACGCATTTGTAAATTTCAATTCTGTATATATTTTATTATAACGCCAGTCATCTAAACACACTATTAAAACAGTCATTGTATTGCAATTTCCGGTGGCGTTTGAGTGAATTTATGTCAATTCGCTAACATAAACAAGCGATCACGAATTCGATACGTAACGGACCTTATAGCGGAAGTTTGCTCCTTTCGACCATATGACGCATTCTCATATATTGGTGATCAACATTTTAAAAATCGACTTGAAACCGATCCTATTTGCCTGGAAAGGTGATATTTAATTCCGTTTCCCGTGACTATATTCTACTTTGCTGTATAACAGGCTCATCCACAGACAGAATGATATGATACGGCAAGTTGTGAAGAGCTGGGGCGTTTCATTAATCGTAAACATTTCATTTGAGAAGGTCGTATATCAGGATGGCGCTGGGATTTCATCTAAAATTATGTAATACAAGATGGGTCCTTTCAGATTTGGCATAACGCCTAGATAGTCGGTGAACCATTTGCAACCACATAAATTCTTGAATAGACAATAGAAAAGGGTTGTAGTAACTTGATATGTACGCTCACAACAGCCGTGTACATACGTTCTCAAAACCTGTTCCCCATTCATTAACATGGCTGCCACTTTATGTGTACAACGCATTCACTTTTTAAAGCAAAAGTCCTGTTTTGAAGTCGGTTGTTTAATTCTGATACGTTTTCCGCAAAGTTGTTCTCTTCCGAGAACACTGACTCCCACTCAACAAATAAAAACCGCCCACAGTTGGTTCATTGTACGCTTCAAATGAGTGGACCGCTCAATGACAGTCAAAGTGTATCATTGAGGGTGTTCTTGTTTTTTGCATGTGCAGGTTGATTGGTTGTTTACTTATGTAAATTTATGCAAATCGTAAGTTTTAATAAATGGCTTGTTTTCCATTCACACGCTTTGTTGGGGAGCGGTTAAACTTAGCAGTTACACTTGCTGCCAGCCTCCCTTCAATATCAAAGACTTCAAAATTATTACATCATGATTCTGGGAAAATATTTTTCATAGATGATTCTAGAAATATATTTTTAACATTATGATATGCTTAAAAATTAACAAAACATATCTAGATGGAAATAGTCACATAATTGTAAGAAATCTGTTACGGTTAAACGGGAGGACTTCCGGTAACGGTAAGAGCGGGGCCGGTTGGCGCTATGTGGTCATAGCACAAAATGGCGTCGGTCGCGTACATGGAAGTGTTGAAACTCAGGTGCGCTGTTTTAATTGAAAATCGCAAATGATCGTGTCGTTCCACGTATATTCACGATGCCGTTCGTTAAAAGGAAAGTATTGCCGGTCGCTTTGAGCAAGAAACCGCTGGACAAGTCAATAAGCAATGAGCTAGAAGCCGTGACCAATAACACACTGTGTGGAGTTCTGCATCAGCTCTCCAGTCTATCAAAACATGCGGTTGCGATATTTGATGATATTACAAGTGAGGCTAAATTAATCCAACACCGATCTGCCCGACTACATTCGCGAGTGACAAATTTAGAAGATCTTGTCAAGTGTATGGACGCAAAATCTGTGAAAGTTCGTAAGTATTTTTTAAAAATTTACGCGATCTATTGATCGCAAAATACCGCAATCTGTTCCCGCAGTGCATTTAAAAAACGGACACCTCAGGTCAGCCTTTGAAATTTCACAATAAAAGAATTACCGATTTCAAATGTACTCTACAACAACATTAAATATTGAAAAAAAATATCCACGTCTTTTGGGATTGGGTTTGATTTAATTGGTGGCTTACATCATGAAAATATTTCATATTTGCGATGAGTAACTTTCGTTTTTATTATCAACTTTTAAAACATAGAACACATGCCTTTATGTACGTACAATATATCGCTTCTTCGTGTCCGTGAAAAGTAATCGTAGAGTTATTTACACTAATAATAGCTGACATTTATTTTGAGTTGCTTAAAATAACACATGTAGGCAGTCGAGCACACAGTCCAAACTCTGTATTTTTAACGCCCCAATTCACATCCAATTAAATGATAATGTTCCACGAATAAAACTATAAAAGGCATTGTGACAACCCAGGAAGTCTTGTGCACGTGTCATAGGAAAAGCTGGTAGCGATTAATTGCTTTTTCAACAACAAAACTATTGTTTTAATTTCCCATATAACTGATAATTAAAATACTGGACAGCCAATAATAGTAGGTTTAGGGTTAAACTAGATGAACTGGATCGTATAGCTGGCAGATCTCATCTGTTGTGATTTAAAATAAGACAGGGTTGACCTGTTGATGCTGATAGACCATACCTAGTCAGTTCTACAGTTTTGAGACCATGCAGGCAAGTGAGTGCAGTCAGCCACAATAAGCAACGAGTCTTGCCTGTGAGGACTTCATAGAAGACTTCGTATGTACTGTGGCACAATGGAACTGTTAACAAACGCAGTCACTGCTTGTTTTGATATGCTGTGCTGGTGGCTGTCAGCGGCAGCTCACTGGCCTATGACATTACAGCTAAACAGACGAATCAATGTAGTCACTGTTGCAAAGCATGAATGTGACACTGACAATGCTGTCTGTATATGTAGTTTTTACCCCCTGATGTTCCTAATGTCTATGTCTAATAAAACCACAACATCCACTGGTGGAACTAAAAATACTGGTGAACTTTAAACTATTTTTGAGTGTTTTTAATCGAGCGAGGAGATATAAGATCGTATTGTAGTAATTTAGATGTTATGATATTGCAATACACATGCAAGTACAAAAAAAAATTATTTATAATAATGGCCAGTATTATAATTGTGGCTGGTATATGGTTTTAATTTCACTGAGATGAAAACAATGTATTGTATGGTTCACTTGTCTTTAGTTTAATTCCTTTTTCAATGTGCAAAGTTGTACAAAGTTAAGAGGAAGTTGGCTTGAGAATATTGTTCTATTACGGTAAATCACGTAGTTGGAAAGTTTGAAAAAAAATGACGAAAATACTAACAAATGCTCATTATATCTGCGGAATGTTCTACAAGCTTTTTTCTTTTTATTTTCTTCTATAAACATAGAAATATATATTAATTTCTACGAGCTATCAGCAAAATGAATAAAAATAAAACCTAGCTATAATGATTAAAATTCTTAGGGAGAGGCTTGGCTTGATTGCATATGAATATCGCGCTACATTGTATTTTCAAAATAGGAGTAAATTTTGAGGTTGGTTTGTGAACTTTTTAATATTTATGTCTGAAATTTACTTGTGTAATGTCTGACCTTGTGTTCACCTTCATCAAATGTTTCCATATCCTTACACCCTGGTTTCCAGTGCGCATGTCTTGCGAATACCATATGTTTGCCAGCAAAATATAATTGATAATTCTAGGATGTTTCAATCTCTCTGCATGCATCATAAGGACAGGCCAAAAAATACAACCTGGTGATATTGGTAAAAAAAGCATTTCCTTTAATAATTAAATTCATAATTATATAAGGCTTGCCATGAACAGAATTCTCTACAAAATTATATTGAGAATTCTCTGAGATTTCTCAGAATGGTAATATGTGTAGGCATGCTAGCTACATTGTACTGTAAAAGGATTAATTATTCACTGGGTTTTAATTTTGCTTATTTCGCTGGCTAAAAAATGAACTAAATTAAAACCAAGTGAATATGTAAAATTTAGCATAGAACACATTATCTAAATGATGAAACTGTGAATTTAAAACCCACTGAATATGCCTGAAATGGTAAATCAGCGAAATTTAAAGCCAGTGAAAATGGTCATTTTACAGTGATAAATATGTGGGCATGTATTGTTTCTACAGTTTAGAAATTCCGAGACAATTACCCATCTAAGTGGAACTTAAGAAGACATTGAGTATTTTATTCCCTATATAGTGGTGATTGTGTACTCAAATTTTCAATCTGAAAACTGGTTTGAATAAAATTTTACATAATTTATAAATTGTGATTTTTTTTTTCATATTTTTGGGCGACACTTTGTCTCTTGACAGCAAAAAACATGGGAAATGTCTCATGTCAGAGAACTTGCTGCATTTTACATACATTTTCCTTTTTTTTTTCTATAAATTTAGAAATATAAGAATTTCTATCCAGTGATAATTTCTATTATCTAGCGAGGAGTAAATCGTATGAACTATTAGACCAACCATATCAGAATATAATCTAAACTCATATTAATCAGACATAGTGAGATCAGTAAATGTTTCATGCCTACAACAAATTCTTTAGATACTTAAATAGTTGGTACAAAGGGCATTGTATGGTCCACCCTTTGGGAAAAAGTCCTGAATATTGACCTTGACCAAGACATTTGTCTTGAGACCACTTAACTGTGAGTGAACATAAATTACTGGTACATTAAGTTTTTCTAATCAAAGGAGAGGAAAACTGTCTTGGAGTAGCAATCGTAAGTGGCCTACATTTGCACAAAGTATGGAAACCAGGAACCCAATATGATTAGGAGTGGGGCAAGTGGTTGTTCTTTTTTAACAAAAATTCTTCTTTTCTTGTTCGAGTGTGTTTATATGCAGTACAATAGCCGAGTCCTGTCTTGCCTTTGTTTGAATGCCCACTGTAGTGTCGGTAATTTCTATTGTCCGCATAAAACCTGCCGTTCCCATATTTAAGTTTGCAAACTTGATATATCCTAGCGGAGTTGCTTTCTTAATTTCATTTCATTGATTTGATAAAACACATAAAAAAATGTAATTAATTTAATGGTATATTTTGAAAGAATTATAAATTGTTCCAAATTTTACTGTAAATGAAACCTTATTGTACTATTAATACAATTGTAATGCCCTATTCAAGGTACAGTAGTCTACTTTGCAAAATTTACCAGTATATGTGGGATGTTTTGAATTCATACAGTCTGCTAAAACTTGTACAGTCATTACAGTAACAAAATATATTATAACATGGTAAATTCCCATGAAAAATCCAAAAATGATTTAACTATCACTGACAGATGGCAGGCTACTTTCTTTATTGTATCTTGTTTCTGTTAGGCCTTCTTTTAGAGAAACATTTGAATTTTAAGGTGACCTTACTTTTGATTTATCAGGGTCCCTTCGGATGTGTGTTAAACAGTTCAGTGAATATCACCTTGAAGATCAGTCAGTCATATTTAATGTGCAACTGAACTGTTTGGTCTAATCTCTTTCTTCAACATAACTGTACTAATTGGGCCTTGTACTTGCATTAATTACTTAAAGTCATATTGGTTATTTAGCTTATCTCTATGTACTTGACCACTTTGTTAGTCCTGGTGGGTTGGTTGAATCACACTTGTTACAATGTTTGTTAGTTTGGATTACTTTATCTGGAAGTCTTGAAGACACAATACTCATAGATGGAAGCAATGTCACTTTAAAATAATATGGTAATCTGATCCTAAGACTAACTTTGGGCTCATACAAATGTAGCATTAGTTTATATTATTCACAGAGATTGTTTATGATTCTTGTAGTTCCTACTGCATGTGGTTTATATCTGTTGCAGATATTTGCAAACGACAATAATTTTTATAAATAAGGCCTATGTGAGCTACATGTACACATTCATTGACTTTATAGACTATATGGTAATTTACAGTGTTCACATCCTTGCTACTAATTTGCATATTATAAGCTTACCCCTTACCTAAAAGATAATCCTAATAAACATGCTAACAGCTGTAATACTGATCTAGTCCATGGCATGACAGGATAGTTCATTTCTCACTGCTGCCATTAGTCTATTAACCAATCAGCAGTTGGTAGGAAGCGGTGGATAAGTGGTACACATGATTGCTACTAAATTTTCACGTTGGCTTCACTCAATAATATATTCATAACTGTGTCTCCTCCCCTGCTTGGTTTTGTCATTCAAGTGATATACTAAAAAGAGTTTAAAAAGTGGCATTTTCTTTGGCAACAGCTTGGGAGAATAGCCATCTGGATGAAGGAAACCAATAAATTTTCTTTTCTCATCCACATGCAAGAAGTGCATTCTGAATACTGTATTTAGTGAGACAAATTTTTGCAAAATTCACGAAACTGTTTTTCATGAATGCGCTAAAATCTCCAAATTCTGAAAATGCATGCAATAGCGAAAATCAAGCAATGTAGTAAAGTCTCTCATATGTTTGAGTAGCTATGAGGAGAAATCCATGCATTGATTTTTTTTCTTTCTGTATATTAATCTAATAGACCTTAAGTATGTCCTTATAATTTTATTTTTTCATGGAAATTTGAGATGAAATTCCTGTTGACACTGTGGACATGTGTGGAAGACATTATTATCACATACTTTGCTAAATGATGGGTATACTTAGCAGTTAATCTTGGAGTATTAATGTTTACTTTACTTTTGAACCCAAAGTCAACTTTTGTCGCCTTTGACAAAAAAAACACATGTTTCCCATATTCGTCTGTCAAAAATTGTGATTAATGCCTGTAATTAGGAATTATGTTCATTTTTGTCCAAATTTAGAAAAAAAATTCTCGAAAAATGTTGTTCAAAAGGTTAATTCAAGTCATTACATTCTTCTCCTGGTTGAGTCATTGCATTTTGTTT